CCTCCCAGCCGGGGCACCTCCAAGCCGCACTGGAGAAACTGAGGTGCGCAAGGAAAGGCAGGGACTCGCCCTTGCGCCCTCGCCCCGGGGCTCTGCATCCCACCCCCTCCGCAGGGAGCCGCTCCCTGTCCCAGGAGGTGCCCCCTGCCCTGACCTGCCGGATACACTTGGATCCCTGGGAGGATTTTAATGAGGGTCTCTTCTCTTGCAGGGGTCCCTGGTGCTATCCCAGGAGGGGGAATCCCAGGAGGAGGCTTTTTCCCAGGTAAGGGGGTCCAGGCAGCGGCGGGGGAGGCATTACCCTGCTTGCAGGGATGGGGCAGGTGCCTGGGGGGTCCCCAGGGACCTCTGAGCCAGCACGGAGGGCTGGGAACCTGCCAGACAGGATCAGGGGACATGGGGACACCCTGTCTGGCCGCTCAGCCCTGGGTGGCTGCCCCAGCACCAGCCCCACGGCGTGGGGACAGGATTGGGTGGCAGTGCCAGGCTTATGCTGGGGGTCACTAGCCCAGGGGTGGCACCTACACCCTGCCCAGCCCTGGCCACAGGAGGTGCTCAGAGGTCACAGCCTGACCCCAGTGTTTCAGCCAAAAGCTTGGGGACATCCCAGGGGGGATGCCCCATCCCCTTGCACCCTTGTGACCCTCTCTGCCTCCCCATAGACCCCCAGGAGCCTGTCATGGGTGGGTGGGTGGGTGGAGGGTGCTCACAGTGATGGGTGCTAAGACTGTGCTGTCGCTTGCAGGTGCTGGGGTTGGAGGTTTGGGAGCAGGTGAGTGCTGGGACCCCTTTGCCCAGGGTGTGCCGGGATGGGGAGGGGGACAGCACCCCTGGCAGAGCTGCCTTGTGGCGGGCAGGGGGTCTGCCACGAGGCTGGCCCCATCCTGCACAGTGTCCCCCCCTTGGGGGATGCTCGGGGGAAGGATGGCTCTTACCCCTCTCCACTCGCTCTCCCCTAGGACTCGGGGCTGGAGGAAAACCTCTCAAACCAGGTAAAAAGGCTTTCCTTGGCTCTCTCGCCATCTCCGGCCGCGCCAGTGGCCAGGATATTTCCCGACCCCTGTTGGCCTCATGTTTCTCCCACGTGGCCAAGGGGACACCCCCCCCCCAATGCTGGGCACCCCCATAGCCAAGGCACGCAGCAGCCGGCAATTTCCGCCCTGCCCTGCCACACTAACACCCGGCCAGCCCCCATAGCCGCAAGGGAGCCTTCCTCCCTCGTCCCCCGCTTCGGCGCACTGCCCTCTACCCTCCAGCCCCACGGACCGCCCTTTTGGGGTGCTTGCTGCCTGCAAACCTGTGCCAAAGCTCCCCGGGGAGACGCAAAGCTGGGTAACTCTCACTCGGCCCTGCCGGGAGCCGGTGCCTGCGGGAAGCTGGCAGCACCTCTGCCCGCCTGCGTTTGTGGCCGAGCAGCTTTTGCTGGGGCTCCTGCAGCCTATGCTAGGGCTCGTCTGGCCTAGAAATGAGGGGGTGAGAGGGGGCATCAGCAGGAAAGAGATGAGATGCTGGCAGGAGGATGCACAGCCCGAGGGCGCTGAGCCTGGGGCGTGGTGGGGAGGTTCAGGGCACAGCTGGGAGGTGCTGGGGCAGCAGGGACCGAATGTGCAGGGGGCAAATCTGGTGCCAACGGAGATGCCCGGTGCCCATCGAGGCCCAGGGAGAGATGCTCTTTTAGGCGGAGACCCAGGTCTCCCCTTCCTGCCCGCCCCAGGGGTACCCGCTGTGCCCCAGGGCAGGGGCACACTGCACCCCCCCCCGGCCCCCCGAGCCTGCCCGT